ACAAGTGTTGGGCATAATGACCGACACACGGATGGGCACAAAGCTAGTCCGTGGCCTAGCTGACGGGCACAATGGCCGGTCATGACCGGTAACAAGGCCTAGCCGGCGCGGCTGGCACAATACCTAGCCCGCGACCAAGCCACTAGGCTCATGGCCTGGCACATGGCTCGGCCATGGCCTACCCGACTCAACGCAACGATCCGTAGCTGATTCGCGACCGGTCCACCTTCGAGTATTAACAACATATGGTCGACCCTCGGTTGTCATGTGGCATCGTGGAATCCGGTATCACGGGATTAATTCATGGTCATCTAGGACTGATGCATGACCGTGCGGAATCACCCGCGACCGACACATGCCGACGCGGCACTGATTCATAGTTATCCCGGAACGTCCCACTAGCAGCCCTTATGGTTGAAGGGTCAATCCACAGTTGTACCACTCTAATCGACTTGCGTGATCATGGAGTCATTCCACTGTCGATCCCTAGGCCAATTCATGGACAATTTTTTGATCAGACCGTGACCAACCCTCAGTACACTCGTTCCGACCATGTTATCCGTTCCATTACCGACCCTCGGCTCAACTGCTCTCTCATTCTATCACCATTTACCTTTGGCGATCTTAGTCCAAAATTCGGGGATGTCACATTATATTCGGATCGGTGTGAAGTTGTAGTGTGGTCCAACATTCATTGGTGATTGAATCTACATTCCTGGGTAATTCATTTGTTGTGCATGGAAAGCTTAGTCGATTTCTTCCGCGACTTTTTCCCAACATTAGTATCAGAGCCTGCGTTATGATTTTTGCCTTGTTTTGTTATCGAGTTTTTCGTTCGTTGTTCAATGAGGAGATCATTAGCGAATCGATTTCCAAACCTATTGCATGTTTAAAGCATTGAATTGCTATATGGATGATCGATACGAACCGGGTACGAAAATCGGGTCTCGAGGTTGTAGGAAACCATTTTGTTTTGCCTTTTCTCAAAACATTTTTTCCAGTGAAAAATTTATTTTGATCATATGGGGCAAAAGATATCGTCGAGACGAACACAAAGGTGGGTAGAACACCACGGGGGGACGCCACACGTGCCCCCATGCGCGGCCACAAGTGGTTGATGTCGTCAGCCACGCGCTGGGATTGCTTAGTGCGTGCGCTGCACGCGCCTCCTGCGCGATAGGACGACGTCATCTATCCAAAGACCGGTGACCCGACGACCTGTCAATGGTCAACTAGTCGGACCGGCGTAAGAGCTGGTTTGAGCTCAGCACGTGGGAGCTCCAATTGGAGCGTGGTTGGTACCGAAATGTTTGTATTGAAATTCTCTATATTGTGGTAAAGTTATTTTACTTGTTTGAAGCTTTTAAAGGTATGAAAATGCGTACAGAACCCTAAATATGCGTATTTTTAGGTTATTATTGCATTTTACCTGTATTTCCTTTTTGGTTTTGGAAATACAGAAGCTAACTTACATGTAAATGACCACATACATAGTGAAAATCCCAAAAAAAAAATTTAGGTGATACCTTTTGTTTGGACCAAAAGGAAAAAAAACAGGGATCGACTAGAGAAGTAAATAGATGTAATGGTAAATGTATCTTCATGGGTATTGTTTTAGAGGACAAGCATAATACGACTTCGAGGAAACTTTTGTATATTTATCAGATCAAATAATGGAATCAATGTACATTTTTATTTTTTTCTGTTTGAGGAAAAAATTTATTCCCTACTGAGCTCTAGCCTCTATTTGATCATGAAAAAAAAAATATTAGATCAGATGCATTGCATTTCCAATGCTCAAGTGCCTCAAATTATAAATTATTGAAAAAAGTGCAATTTTGTCCAAAAAAAAGTACAATTGGGCAACCGTAGGAACGCGCAAATGGCTTGATATGAAAGACTCGAAAATCATCTTGGAATTAAAACCAAGGACGTGGGGCACGTGATTGGTCAAGATAAAGCCCTAATTCAATGCCAAGCAACCTTCCATCCCACGCTTGGATCACAAGCAAATTGCTTGTCGCATAATGAACCCATCTTCATGATCCGGTCCAAGTGGATTTGACTACAAAAAAAGATTAGGCATTCAAATGCATTTAGTTGCTTGAGATCAAAGTTCAGCAACGAGATTATAAATTTCATCTAAATTTAGCAAACACTGATGCAAATTATCTCTTGTTTCTCTATTAAAAATACGTACAGTAAAAAAAGGTGCATTAGATTGTCAGATTATATAATTTGACCGATTAGATGTTTCGACCCTCAATGTTTCGTTAGTGGGTTCTGCAATGAAAGAAAAATGAGCTTTTCTTTCAATAGTGATTTCCACATTTGCTATTTATTTGATAACATTATTTAGTTTGCACGGTAATGATATGATATCCATCCTTCTGAATTAATAATTCTTGCAATCAACTCATAACAATATGATTTCCGATATGATCATAATGGTATCGATTTTCCTATCGTGATTTTCGAAACAACGGTACATTGTGATTGGGGAAGTGGATAAAGTCTTAAATATAGGAGAAATGATGGTATCTTTTTTTGGTCAAAAGGAGACATGATGTTTTTTTTTTTTTGGTCAGAAGAGACATGATGGTTTAAGCAGTATATAATCGTGGTCGCCCGTTCCTAAGGTTGATCCAATTGATTTGGCATACGAGCTTTTTGTAAAGTGCTTGGTCCATTTCTTGTTGCTCACATAAATTTCTGCGAATAAGCCCATTTACACATCATATTAAACCACACGTTCATAAAGTTTACATGCACATTTACTTTGTCGAATACACGATCATACACGAGGTGCGATGGCATAGCTTCTTGAGAAATCGACACCTCATGCAAATAACACCGGACCATCGAAATTCTATCTTTCTCTTTGTGTGTGTGTTCAAGCCATGCCACACCTTCACCTCCTTGGTTGTCTTCGCCTCACACCAATATTTGAGGTCACGACGGCTTCACGGATGCGATCATTATTTTAACGTGCTGGTACCTGCACTTCTTGTATTCCAAATTCTCCATATATTTTGTCTTTCCCAAGAAAAGGAAATGCTCTTTGAAAGTTTTATATTCTAATGATTTCGAGGTCAGATGGAGCCTTTTAAGAACTTGTTCAGGTCCTAGCCTCTGCCATCAAGTTAGAGAAGATGGAATCTATCTTTTTATTTTTTTGGTTTTGGGGTTTTTCTTCAAATATTAAGTGTCCTTTTAATTTTTCAATTATTTTTTCGGAAAAATTCCAAATAAGGACCAGAAGTGCTCTCATTTTCTCAAATAAAAGCTTAAAGTGGACTTTGTGTCAAATAAGAGTTTAAAGTGCCTTCATTTTTTTAAATAAGGATCTGAAGTAGCCATCTCAGTCTCAAAAAAGGTATAACCTCACAAGAGTTAAGGGTATTTTTGTCTTTTATTTTTTTCCTTTTATTTTTTTATTTTTTCCTTTTGTGTTACAAACTAAAAAAAAAGCTAAAGTTAAAAGAAAAGGGGGGGGGGGGGGGGGAAGGCTAGCTGCCGCCTCATCGCCGGTGGAGTAGCGGCCATGGCTGGTGGGGTCACTAGCGACCCTTGCCGACTAGAGGTGAGGGCTCGGTAGCCCTCGCCAGAACTGAGATAGGGTCGCTCGACCCTCTCCCAGATCTAGCGAGCGTCGTTGGCCCTTGCCTAGGTCTGCGGGAGGGCCGCTGGCCTTCACACAAGTATGGCGGCCTTCTCTCAGACCGAGGCGAGGGCGGGCGAGGGTTGCTGGCCCTCTCTAAGGCGTTGGCGACCTCGCCGACCATTGCCGTTGCCCTATCGACGATGGGGCGACGGCCACAGGCGAGGAGGGCTGATAGTTAGCCCTCTCCCTTGTTTTTTCCATTTTAATTTTTTTAATTTTTAATCTAATTTAACTTAAAATTATTTTCGAACAAAAATACTCTTGATTGGCCGGCAAATTTGGCTGGCGGTGAGCTAGAGAGGTGAGGCATTTATTTGAAACTATTTTAGCTACTTCATGTCTTTGTTTAATACAAAATTTACTTCAAATTTTTATACGAAAAAATAATGGCACTTTAAATTTTTTTGTGTTTGGCCACAAAAATATTCTCATTTGAAAATTTTCCATTCTTTTAGGGAAAAAACCACCAAAAACCCCAAACTTTCTCACTTGTGACACATTTACCCCGAACTTTTTTTTGTGACATCAAAAACCCCAAACTTTGTTATTTGTGACACATTTACCCCGATATACATTGTCCATGGGCATTTTCGTCTTTTAGCTTTTTCTTTTTCTTTTTACTTTTTTTTCTTTCCTGCGAGGGCCTCTCGCGCGCCGGCGAGGCTCGCCCGCTCGCCCAGCGAGGCGAGCCCGCCGACGCCGGCGAGGCTCGCCCCTCGCCGAGCGAGGCGAGCCTCGCCGGCGTCGGGCGAGCCTCGCCCCGCTCGCCTTCGCCAGCGAGGGCGAGGCTCGCCGGCGTCGGGCGAGCCTCGCCCCCGCACAGGCGAGGAGGGTGAGGAGGGCGAGGCTCGCCGGCGTCGGGCGAGCCTCGCCCGGCTGGGCGAGCGAGGGCGAGCCTCGCCTCCTCGCCCCGGAGCGAGGCTCGCCCGACGCCGGCGAGCCTCGCCTCGCTCGCCCGAGCGAGGCGAGGCTCGGCGTCGGGCGAGCCTCGCCTCCTCACCCAGCCAGGCGAGGCTCGCCGACGCCGGCGAGCCTCGCCTCGCTCGCCCAGCGGGGCGAGCCTCGCCCGACGCCGGCGAGCCTCGCCCCTCGCCCAGCGAGGGCGAGCCTCCTCGCTCGCCCGGCGGGGCGAGGCCCCCCCCCAAAGTTTGGGGTTTTTGGTGATTTTTTCCCATTCTTTTATGTTACTAGTACAAAGGAGATCAGGAAAAGAGGGTTAAGACCAATCATCGTCCGCCAAGAAGGTTTCAAGAATCTTCAAAAAAACGAGAGTACAAATCATAGAAGATATTTTCTCTCTCTCTCTCTCACTCCCTAGATTTTCTAGTCAGTTTCTTGCACTCTTGTCTCTTCCCTCCTGTCCTTTCCTGATCTCTCTCTCCCTCTCTCGCCTTCCAGCTTTCGGCAGCAAGCGCACGCAGAGATGGCGACCCCCCTCTCTCTCTCCTCTCCCAACGCGCTCTCTCTCCTCCGCCACGTCAGCAAGAACCCGCCACCTCCCTCCCCGAAACCTCCGCTCGGCGGCGTCCGCAACCGCTCGTCGCTTCTCCCTGGCCGCGCGAGCTCCTTCGCTTACTACAACCCTCTCAGGTCAGTCTCGTCGGTCTTTGAATTCGCTGGTTCGTGATTGCTTCTTGACGACCCAATAACGAGCTGGTCTCGAAACTGATGTCGGGTCGTTTTCTTTTTGGTCAGACTTTCGATCGAGTGCGAGAGGATGGCTCTGACGAAGAGGAAGATGAAGAGGAGCGGAGGCGTTGGCGCCGTTTGCTCCGCCGCGCCTCTCACCGTCCGTAATCTCCAGTGGATCTCCGCCGTCTCTTCCGCGTGAGGCTCTCTCGTTGTCTCTCTGTTATGGGCGCATGTGATGAATGCTGCGACATTTCCTCTTGATGTTAGTTAAATTTGACTCGATATTGTACTTGGTGTTGTTGAAATTGTTCATGGGTTTGTTTGAGTTATAGGAAGTAGTTCAATCTCCGAAATGGAGTCACCAGTCCTTGCAAATGTGACATTTGATCTGAATGTTGCCGCCTTGTTGCTGAGACTTGTTGTCATGGAACTCACAAAGTAATTTCGGATTCTATGAACTGTTCATTTTTTTTTTTTGAAATTTATTGCGGCAATGAATTTCAAATTTCACCTTTCAGATAAACATCATCTAATTGGACACGAGACTGTGGACACTGTGAACTGACGGCCTTTCTTTTCTTCACTAATGCTTTTTGAGAAATGCAGTAACCTGTGTAGTGTTATTATACCTTAAGTTGACCAGTCAAGTTTGCTTTTTCTTTTTTCTTAATTGTCTATGAAGAAGCTGAGGAGTAGTTATTGGTTCATTCCTGGTGCTCCTTTTCCGCTCGTCAAGATTGTACAGCATTTTCTTATGATTTCTTGCACTGATACAGGGTTCTGATGCTTGCAAAGGGGACTCCTGTTCAGAAGTCCTTTCTTGTTCCATTGTTTGCTCTACAAGCACCATCCAGTATCATTTCATGGATGAAGTAAGATATCTTTTCATATCCGATGTCGACCTTCTTCACAACCATGCTATTATTTAACCAGCATTATCCTTCATGGGGGTGGTGATGGATTTGTTTCGGCCAAAACTTCTTGATGGAAATGACAGATCTGTGACTAAGTATTTGTCCTGTTGATGGAACACAAGATTGTCTCTGCTCTAGTATCTTGTTTTGATCGAATTTGTGAAATATTCAATCTGTAATGTTCTTCAAAGTTGCATCTTTGGTGAAGCTCTGGTGATTTGAGTTTTGCAGGGGTGAATATGGCATTTGGGCTGCCTTCCTGGCTCTTCTAGTTCGTCTTTTCTTTTACATTCCAGGTATGTTGACTACCTTTGCTTGATTTGCTACTGGTATATGTTTTCACTCTTTCAAATTAGGCGGGATCATACATACTGCCCTGAACTGTTGACTTCCTGGCTATGCATAGTTTTTATTTGTCTCTTCTTTGGTATAACTAGGAAACTTGCAGATATACGGGCATAGTCCCCGCCTTTAGGTTACTTACAAAGCATACTGATGTTTATTTGGTTTCTAAATGGTAGTTTTTGTAGATTCTCGTACAAGTCATTCATTTTTTCTGTGGTTTTGGGGCAAATTATGGTTGTGGCATATTTGTATGAGAATTTAGTTACTTATTTTGTGGGTTCACATATCAGAATAAGCTTTATTGTTCTCCAGTGGGCTGTCACCAGTCACCACCAAACCTAAATTCACGGTATATCGAGGGTCAAGGGAACCGTAGTACTTTGTTTGGGAATACTGGGGAAATGGGAAATTAAGAGATGGGAGGAGAAAGTTGGAGCAGAAACTTCTAACTCACATGAATTTTGAATTATGTCCTATTTTCTCTCGTCACCTCTCATTTCCCCTCCGCCTTATGTTACCAAACACAGCTTAAAAATTAATGGCGCACCCTTGAAATGATCACAAGTTTCTTGTACATTTCTACGCTGTTCTGTTTTCAATGCTGCCTTGTACTTTTTATGCTACAAATTAACAACGGCTAATTTGGATGAATTCTTCTTTTATGCTTTGGCCCTAGGTGAACTCGAGTTGCCATTTATGGCATTGGTACTGGTGATTGTGGCCCCTAATCAAGTAATGAACTTGAGGTGAGTTAAGTCTTCCTTTCTTTTGGCTGAGCCATACGTCGGGCTTGTCGTTGTCTTCCTTTTTTCTCACCTCTATGATGTAATGTACAGGGGAACGCAAGAAGGTGCTATAATCGCAGTGTTAATAGCAGTTTATCTGGGCTTTCAGCACTTCTCCCGTACCAGCTTGCAAAAGTCATTCGAGCAAGGTTCAATTGTCGCCACCGTAGCCATCATTTGTATCGCGGTCGCCTCACTTTTGTTTTTTATCTGAATATCATGGAAAAGGTTACAGACAGATATGTCATGTGTTGTGCCGTGTAGATCGTAGAATAATCATCGGTCTAGCTGCTGGGAGCTGTTCGACACTATCAGGGACAGTATAGTTGTCTAAGATAGGTTGAGTAGTATACAGAAGTAGATTTTTTTTTCTTTGAATGTAATTGACAAGTTATGATGTTTCCCAGAGACTTCGGGCTTACTTGTATCAGGAATAAATGCCTTTTCCTCATATGGATTATAGAATTCATCTCTTTTCTTGCATTTCTGGGCAATTTTCATTCTGAGGCTGAGGTGAGATTGGAAGGTGAGGATGGAGCTGGTTTACGTTAAGGGTGCGCATGACAACCATTCTGTGCCCGGGAATTATTTCTGAACAGAAATGATTTTTTTTTATTCTGTGCCCGGAAACAATTTCTGTGCATTTGAAGGCGTTTGGTAAACTGTCCAAAATTTCTATTCCTGGAATAGAAAAGAATAGAAATGCGTTTGGTAACTATACAAAAATTTCTTTTTATTAATAATATTTTGAATTGTTTATTTTTTTTTTCTTTCTACCCAGGCCATGGTCGGTCGCCAGCGACCGGCCACAGCCCAGGGCCGGCGCGGGCGTCACGGCCCTCGCCGGCCGTCCGGCGGAGGCGAGGGTTCCCCGTCGGCGCGAGGGCGAGGGTGGACCCTCGCCGCCCGGGCGAGGCGGCTCGCCGTCGCGACCCACGGCGAGGTCGGCTTTGCCGTGGGTCGCGACGGCGAGGTTCGGCCTCGCCGGATCCGGGCGAGGCCGTCGCGACCACGCAGGTCGGCCTCGCCCAAATCCGGCAAGGCCGAGCCTCACCGTCGCGACCCACGGCGAGGTCGGCGCGCCGTGGGTCGCGACGGCGAGCCGCCTCGCCCAGCGGCGAGGGTCCGGCCCTCGCCCTCGCCTCTGCCGGCGGCCGGCGAGGGCCGTGACGCCCTCACCCTCGCCTCCGCCGGCGGCCGGCGAGGGCCGTGACGCCCTCGCTCGGCCCCGGGCCGTGGCCTCGTGGCCACGGCGTCGCCGGCCACAACCCAAGAAGAGCAACACAAAAAGAAGAAAAAAAAAAAGAAAAAGAAGAAAAAAAACTGATTCTCAAAATTGTGCCGAGAAACAAGAAGCAACTTTTTTTTACTTATTGTTTCTCTTCTAAAACTGTTTATCGGCACAAATATTTGAAAAAATGTGCCCGGAAACAAAAAGTTTACTAAACGCATTTCTGTTCCCAAACTATTTCTGAGAACAAAAGAACAGAAATTTTTACTGTCTGGCACATTACCAAACGGGCCCTAAGGATACAAAAGTGAAGAGAGAAAGAATTGCTCCTCCTGTGCATGCAGAAAGGATCTGTATGTCTACTATACATCCACATCTATAGCTATATCTATATGATCTTCTATAATCTTTCGTAAGAGAGAGGCTTAAGTGAGATGTATGTAATTTTTCAAATTATTCGGGGGGACAAGCGTAAAGGGGCTTCTGTCGTCCGACATGGCCCAGTCCACTGTCACAATGCGTATCTTCTCAAATGTTCTTTTTGTCAGAACTCTGATACAAACTCCTGATAAGACACAGGCTTCAATGAAAAGATGAGATCTATTTATAACGGAAAATAACAAAAATAATTTCTGAATTTTTACCTGTCGATTTTGAAATTTTAATTTATTTAATATAATTTTTAAATTTTTTATATTTATTCAATATCGTCCTTGAACTTTTAAATTTACCAAAAATTTAGGGATTGTATTAAACAAATTCAAAGTTCAGGAATGACATTGTACATTGAGGCAAAATTTACTGATCATTTGTGTAATTATTCCATTTATTTGTGATCCAACGGGAACCAATCCTTCAAGGGATTAAAAGACCTTAAGACTCCGTTCGTTTGGCGGGAAATATTCTCCTTTTGGAAAATATTTTTCCGGAAGTTATTTTCCTGGAAAATGTTTTCCCGGAACATAATTTTCCGATGTTCGGTGATCAATATGAAAAAGTTTCGGAAAATATTTTTTGCCGGCGGCGGGCGGCGACCGCGGCGGGCGACCGCGGCGGGCGACCGGCGTTCGGCGGCGGTCGGGCGACCGCGGGCGGCGGCCGGCGACCGGCGGCGGCGGGGGGGGCGGCCGCGAGCGCGGCGGCGACCGGCGGCGGCGGCGGCGGCGGCGGCCTTAGTAAAGAAGAAGAAGCTCCGGAAAATGATTTCCGCTAAATGATTTCCGCTTTTGAAGAAGCGGAAGTCATTTTCCATAGACTTAGGCTATTTTGTGAGGGGGGGAAGGAAAATATTTTTCCACGGAAAACGTTTTCCGCCCCCCGAACACCGGAAAACCCGGAAAATATTTTCCGGGAGAATATTTTCCGCCAAACGAACGGAGCCTAAGTGTAAAAATATTTTCCCGGTGTGTAAAAGACTTTTCGTTTTGGCCAGCCCCAAGTGTAAAAGATTTGCACAAGTTGCATTTAGTAAGTACGGTGTAAGAAAAAAACATAAGAAAGTACTTAATCTCAAAACATAAAATGAAAATAATTTAAAAAAAATCTAAATTAAGTAAATGAAAATTTTTATTCAAAAAGAAATATGAAACTTGAAATTTTTGTTAGTGCATTATAGAAGATTGTATTTCATATAAAATCTTTTGATTAAATGATTTACAGCTAAGTATAAGGAGCATATTAATCAAAAGTGCGACTGCAATAAAAAGTTGACAGATTGATAATATCAAAACTGGTGATTCCATCAAAGCTCAAAATTATACCCTACAATTAAATTTTAAAGCTAAACTTAAAATCTCATACAGTCAGAATCACTCAAAGTTATGATTTTTGTTGGAATTTGAATACTAGTTGCTCGGATGAAGGCATCGTTTCTAAACAAGAAATTCGAGGCATACAACGTCAATGGACCAACATAACTTCAATCTATCATTGAATATTACAAGATGGAGTTAAAATTGCCAAACTTCACTGATTACCGACATCAACAAATAAAAATATATACCCACCCACGGGTAGCTCAGTTGGTTAGGGCGTACTTGGGATTGTGTGGTTAGGCGCACTGGTCCCAGGTTCGATTCTCCAGCTGAGCACTTGTGATTTAAGTGGGGGGCCATGGCGGTGGGTTGATGTGCTAGTCTCCCCCAAGGAATAGTCGAGGTGCGCGCAAGCTGGCCCGGACACCTCGGTTACCAAAAAAAAAAATATATATATATATATATTTTGTATTAATGTATATGGCTAAGGTGTTCATACCCATAAAATGGAAAGGAAAATCATATTTGCATGTGGAAAATTCGAATATTTCCATAGATTTATATCATTTACATAATAGTCATGTGAGGTTTGATTGTCTACGAACCAAATTATTTCGTCAATTAAATGCGTAAACATAACGTTGATTTTGTCTTTCTAAGTCCCATCGTTTTTACCAAGCAAATCAAGTGAAATCCCTTCATTCTTCCTTACTTATCTCTTGGTGTTTAAGGGAATAACAGATGGTTCGCTTGCATTGGAGGAGGAGAATGATTCCGATTCTTCCACGTCTTAAAGGAACGTGTTCTTGAAGTTTCATGTGGTTCCTGCAGAAATTGTAGATACCTTATCCTACTTACTCAGCTTGCTATGTTTTCCCTTATAGCAATATCAACATCTGAACAATCAAGCTATTTGATGTCCATGAAGCACAAGTAGACATCTTGCTCATCCAGTAAACTAAATGTATTATTATCTGTGTTGGCTAATTGTGTATAGAGATGACACTACATGACTATTCTGATTCCTATCTTGTAACTTATTCTTCCGGGTCTCAATCTATTCTGATGTTGATGACAAAGACAAGAATACAAGAGATCGCATCTTGATTACTTCCAGGGTGGCATCTGTAAGAAGAGAGAACCACCTTGAAGGTCAATCACGCTCTGATAAATCAAAATGCCTCCTTGCGTATCCCGGTTGTCTCCTTCAAGTGCGAACGCCATGAGATATGCAAGGAAGCGATTGAATTGCCTTCTCATAGCAGCGCAGATGCAACTTTCCATGCAGTGGCTTAGGGACCACGGGCGAGAAGTGACCACGACAGACAAGCTGCGATGAGTAGAACCGCTAAGCTGCACGCGATGGAGGTGGCTGAGCTGGGAAGTCCCGTTGGCTCTGCGACCCCAAAGAGTGGTGACCCTGGTACAGTTGAGGGTGGGGTTTGGTAAACTGGTGTGGTATACGTCATCGGTGGAGGTGGTGAAGTAGTAGTAATAGGAGGAGTAAGAGTAGGAGGAGTCGGAGTTAGAGTAGCGCTGCATTGGAAAGTTCAACCTTGTCATTTTCGGTCACTTAGTATTTCGCAATGAGTGATAAAAAAGAATAGGTTTTGAAGATTACCCAGAAGATGCAAAGTGACAGCTTCCATGGCCTGCCATAAATAAAGCAAAACGAAAGATCGATACAAATTAGCCACATGCATTGAAGCTGCCCAAAATTGATTTTTTGTGCGTACCAGGATTTCAAAGGTCAAGAAATTTTCCTGATACTTAGATTAGTACCAGTGAAGTCTGCTCATTTGAGAGCTTTAATCAAGTTACTTCCTGTGCTAATTACTCAGAATTTTAAAGTGGTTTTGACAATTTTTTTAAAAGGAACAGATTTAAGAAATATACGATGGATCCCAGTTTTCCAGAAAATGAAAGTGTGTCTGGGAAGTATCTTACTTGGGTCAGTTGAGGTGAGTTGTGCCGTTCCTCCAAAAACACAGCTAGTGGGAACCGGATTCTTCTGGTAGTAATCATTGAAGGCGTAGGAGGCATGATCTTGCAGGGTGCTAGGATCATAGCAAGTCGCGCCCGGCTGTAGCGACGCGCAGTCTGCACCACCGTACCCGCAAGCATAGTCGAGAGCCACCTGCAGAGCTGTTTGAGAGGCGCCCGGGTTTGCGACGCACCATTGTCCGCTTGATGTCGTCGGCGTGGTAGTCGTCGGAGGTGCGACTTGACTTGGGATTGGCATCGTGGTGATTGGCGGTGGAGGTGATGCTGGGTTCACAATAGGAGTTGAAGTACCCGGAGTCGTCGGGTTGACAATAGGAATAGTTGCAGCAGTAGTGTCTCGCTGAGCAGCAAATGTGGAAGTTGATAGTAGTGCTTTGTTCTGTTGATAGTGCAGTCCTTTGTTATGCTCTTTCAATGGCTGGGCAGCCCTTGAACCTGAGGCACATTACAAGAATAAAAATCATCAGCAAATGGTCGGACTTCAAAACTTCAACATTCATATTCGGGACATTGGAAAATCGAACTGGTATAAATTTTCGTATCGAAAAGAGAAATCTCAAGTTGAGATTGCCGAAAAACAGCACGAGTACCTGAATTGAGGCATAGAAACAAGAGGAAGAGTAAATGGCAATGGAGAACCAAAGGATGCATTGCTTCTGTGATGAGGACTTGGAATTTCTTCTATGTATCTGTCTGTGAAACAATGATAGAGAAGCCAGAGTTTATTAAATAAGAGAACCAACAAGGGTTTTTTATTGCACAGAAGGCTTCAGGCATTGGTTCAGAATAGTGAGGGGAGAATTGTAGATGAGAGGGGTTGGGAGGAATCAGAGCTTTCTTGGGGTGAAGAGAGACCCCAAACAGGAAAGGTGGGGAATTTAGGAAACTTGAGAAAGCAGGCATTGGGAATTGGTGGATTTTGCAAGCAAGTGTAAGGTGCCTAAGGAAGGGGCAAAAGGTGAGGGGCAAAAAGGCAAGAAGGCTAAAGAGTGATCTGCTTGGGATTTCAATCTGGGTGTTTTCGGATTCTAAATTTACCATTTAAGGCACTGCTCATGTTAGGGGCAAGGATGATTCCTTTCTACGTGACTGCATCATGGGACTAAATGGAAAAGGGCGAAGAGAATTTTGGCTATTCCTGTGGTTACTTTACTTTATGGTCATGTATTGTGAGAGAAGCGAGACAACATGGGCTGGCACGTAGGGGCCGCTCTTCCAAGCTTCTTCGCTCACCACTGTAGGCTGGACTATCGCGGAAGCTTGAACAAACGAAAAGATTTGAGCAATGAACAAATTGTAGACGCTAAACCTGACGTGGGCGATTTACATGGTACGGTGGTGTGGCTACTTCGCGGGGCGAGATTGATGAGATGGTTCTACTGAAATAGGAAAAAGAGAATATTACAATTGCTCGAAACGCTCGTATTCAGGTGTTTAACAATGGTAGATACACCCAAACCCACGAGAATCACTCACAAGAAAGGAGTTCTCTCACACTCTCAACTCTTTTGGATGAGGCATCTGAAAAGGTTTTTAGGGTTCTCGCAAGTATCTTACAAAATAGAACATCAAAATAAGGTTTTAACGAGTGCAGAATGGGGGCCACCACGTCTCGGGGCGGTCTCCGTATCCAAGCCCCCGCAAACAATCTTCACATCCCGATAATCACAAACTTGTGTGGATTCTAACTCAAATGGGAAAATTTTGAGTCACAATCAACAAATTTCCGCCTTGGTGAGAAGTCCAACTTCACCCCCACAGGTTGTGGTCTCTCCTGAGGGCCTCTAGGCTCTTCATTCACTGCAAAATGCTAACCAAGTCCCGAACAGCATTGAAATTTGGGTAATGGCATAGGCTTCGATAACATATCTGCTGCGTAATTTTTTGTGTGCAACTTTCTCAGTGGATGCGGTTCCCTACGACACATTATTATGTATAAAATGGTATGTGACATCAACGTGTTTAGTTTGCTCGCAATACATATGATTTCTAGTCAAATTATTGCACTCTAATTGTCGCACTAAAAATCAATCTTCTTTTGCTGCAATCACAGATCAATAAGCAAACCTTTGAGCCAAATAGCTTCCTTGATTGCTTTGGTTGACATTGTGTACTCTGCTTCAATCATCGACAAAGCAACTATTGACTGTGATCGCACTTTCCGATTAATGGTACAACCCCAAAACTGAACACGGAACCTGTCAAAGACGTTCACCCATCCAAGTCACCAACAAAATCTTAATCCATAAAATATGTTACACCTCTTGTAGCCCGTCTCTTCCCAAAGGTCAAGTCCACGCCAGTTGTCCCTCTTAGTGATAACACTAGCATATGGAACACGGGACACACATCCTCTCTCGTCATTTGACTGTGGTACAAGATTAGCTAAAAGCTTAAACTGCGCAGCTAGCAAGTAATCATGGATTCAGCATTGTGCATGCTAAATTATCTCAGCACAATACAAATGTGATCACCCTGTGATAGGTGAAGAATCCCTCCAGACTCATCCCTTTGGATCGCCGTGCTGAGCATTGCTTCTCTAGCTCACCTTGTATAAATGTCTGTTTTTACTTCCAACCGCCCTCGTCAGCAAATTGTTGATTCATCGAAAGTAACGTCTCGTGGAGGGACTCGATCCCTAGGCTCCCTAGGAATATCTGCCGACGCTCAACCAACTAAGCCACGAGCGATCCTGGACTTGCTTTGGTAATAATAGTTTCCATTCCTTATTCTTTACATCCTTTGAAAATTGTAAAGGAAGAACCAAGTTGATGAGATTCGCATGTGCGCCCGCCATGGATCAGCTTAGACTTTTGCGTCACATATGGCGTTTTCGTAATATATACATCTATGTGCATCTCGTGATGGTCCACCTTTTCAAACTGCTAGGGATGAGCAGTTGAACTGTGTACAGCCACCAATCCGGTTTGGCCTCCGGTGCAATTCTTAATCGACACCATTTTTCGTTGCAAACAATGGTGTACTGAGCCTGATTGACGTTAATGGTCACCAAATTTGCCAGTTCCTGAATTTCCCCGAACCTACTAATATAATCTTGTAAAGACAAAAGGGTGTGATTGGTAGCATAGATATAAACGCCGGATAGGATAAAAACTAAATTCATTCGATGTAGGATAACACCTTCAAATTAGGATAAGCCCGGAGATCGTAGAAGTAGAATCCTAGTGATGCCGGTAGCAGCCCTGCCATAGGCGTTGCCGGCAACCACCGCACGGTGATCACACCCTTGTTGACCTCGCTACAATGGTCCTGGTGGTCGCCCTGAGATCTCCACCCTTCAATTAACGCAACTCCCCTCTCTCTGCTTTTTATTCTTCCCCTTGTCGCTCCTTGAGATCATCGTCGTGGTCGTCATTGTTGACAGACGAGATCGTGAGCTGGTCCCTAGTTGATAGGGGCAACCACCAAAGTAACGGTGGCCTGTGCAACGAGATCTTTCTCTATGTCACTGTGTGATCACCGTGACAGACGCATCGACCACCGCAATAGTCACGGCGAATAAGTGACCATGATGGTGGCGGTCACCGGCGATTAGGATGGACCACCGCCACCTCGGTGATCCAATAGCTATGGTCAAGCAATTCACACTCCTCCCTTTCGTTTTCTTATTATTTTTATAATTTTCAAACTTTAGATCTCTCTCTCTCTGACTAGAATAAAGAGAGTACTTGTTTGAGTTGGAAATGTCAGACAACATGAACTCACTTCTGAAAAGATACTCACCGTATCGACACACGATCATTCGCGACGAAACATAGAGACACAAGCTCAAGAAAAGTCCCCAAATTTCGATTAATTAAACCTAAGCCCAAGTGCTTTTGGCATGGACGAACGTGAAATCCCAACCGATTGTAGCATCCGCAGCCGGTCGTCAGTTAACAATTTGATAAAGCAAGAAACCAGAACTACGAAAAAACTTTTAAGGAGTTAAGTTTTGTAGTATTGCTTTGAAAGTAAACAAAAGGGGAAGGGGGGAAACGATTCCGAGAGACCGATTAAATAATGAAAAGCGACAACGTAGTACGCTAAATCAGGTCCCTAACTTGTGCCTTAAACCACATTTGTCGTGCTTTAGCTGGACAAGGTAGCACTAAGTACTTGATTACTCCCGTCTTTATACTTGTTGAATTCGCCACTTTTCGAACCGGGCTGGTTTACGCCGTTCACTTTGAGCCTGATTCGATTACATTCCATTCCACATTGGCAAGGGAAAAAAATATGGGGCGCATCCCGAGTCTAATTGTCGTCGCGACGAAAGCAACTTCGCATTGGGTCGAGGTGAAAGGAGATTCGGAACTAATGGGCAGATTGGGAATTAGGGGAGTGAAGAGACTTCGGGATGTTTTTCGGGGCAAACGCGTTTGTCTAGAGCGAGAATGCCGGTCGAGCCGATAGCTAGCATCCGTCTTCATCCTGAGGAAAGAAAGAAGCGTAAAACAACCCTGTTCTCGACTGCACGCACCAATCTTTTCGACGTTTTCTAATTGTTGTTACATCCTCTAGTTCAAAGATGACAAGAACACGTATACTTTATCAAGATATTGTATTTACACTTTGGAAATGATCTACAGAAAGAACATCGCAAAGCGCCAGACATACCCAAACATGTGCTATGAACTTTCAGAATCCGGACCTGTAACTCCAATCCTCGGTGGGGTTCAGTTATAAGCTCGTAAACTCCCCCTCGGCTAGAAAATTTGGATCCAGAAGAGAAAAATTCATCCTCCTCTGATGCAAACTTGCCCTTCCACGGTCCAGCGTGATCAGGTTAATGAATAATTTCCCTCGCATACTCCATCGTAGCCATGATCCACCTGTTGCAGCTGATAAAAGATGAACACTGTGATATCCTTAATGGAAGAGTCGCATGTTGTATTCCTATAACAGGTGAAACGCCTATGACATGCTGAAAAATTCACGATCACAAATAGATGCCCCCAAATGGAAATATAAGTTAAGCAATACACGAAGCAAATACTTACAGGTGAAGGCCGAAAAAGGAAGTTGAAGGGCGGCCAGAACACGTGCTTATCCTTGTCTAAGCATTTTACACTTAGAAATATGCTTGTTGACTTCATTCCAAGCTGCATGACGGATCTATTATATTAGGTGTGCCCTACCAATTATCTAGCACCTTATCCCTAGTTAGGAGCAATTCTTGCTTTCACTTGGTCTAGCCATCTAATCAGGCGGCATGGAGCCCATGCCTGCAACGATCCAATATAGCTTATCCTAATAGACCAGCCTAAGCAAGATATTGCCCCTACATAGGAGAAGGGGTGGAGCATTAGAAAAAAAAGGAAGAAAGCATTTGTACCAGGGAGACTTCGATAATCTGGCTCTATTCCATTGCCATTAATGTCCATGTGATTTGGGGTCACATACTTCCCAATAGTGACGACAACACCAGAACCGTCGTCAAGTTCAAAAACAGATTGGATCAGACCCTGTGAAGAATAGGTATTCAATCATCTTTATTTCACTCTAAGCTTAGACTTGTAATTATTCACTGTCAGCAATCTGAAAATTTATTTTAAGCCAGTTGTTGAAAAATAATCGTGGTCAAGCAACTAAACTCTATACAGAAATATTTCTCTACATGATTTTCTCACGTAAGGAGTACAAAAAAGATTGAATAAAGGGAAGATGACTTCAAAAAGATTCCCAAGATGACTTAATCAGATGATAATAATATAGCTAAAGGCGTGCCTTAATTGACTTTTACTTTCTACTTTTTGTTTAATCTAACTCTTGCAGCTCATGCACTTTCACATTTTTTTTGACCCGATACACCTGAAACTTCACAAAATACAAAGATTGATGCGTAAGTTAACATATTATTTTCTCATAATATTCTGAAATTTAGATAATAATTAATATTTGGCGGGAAAGTAAAAAGTTGCTTTCTTTCTTTTTCTTAAGCAAAAATAAACGCCACCTAGGTCTAATTCATCCCCCTAAAGAAAAAGTTCATTTTATTTCAGTCCTCAAATAATATGCAACACACTCTGTCTCATCTGAGAAGCTATAATCATAATACCACAGTAGCTAATAAACCTAATGAAACTCATCATAAAGATCAGTGAAACATTGTCTGTTAGATGACCTGATTCTAGATCCTCAATGAAAATTTATGCACCAACGGACTTTACCAAAGATAGATCAACATTGGTACCTTGCCAAAAGTCCTTTCTCCCACAAGAACAGCCCTACAGTTGTCATGAAGAGCAGAGGCAACCTAAAATAAAAGTCGAACGGTCATTATAATTCATCTCAAATTGAGATGACACAACTCAGAAGAAGTTGCTCCTATTTCAGGTTAAGGAACTTACAATTTCACTAGCGCTAGCTGTTTTGTTGTTTACCAAAACCTGCATGAGAGGCTTAACTTATAAGCTAGTTTTAGCAGAGTAAACTACATTTCCGCTGAAATGACGATTTAAGTGTAACCATGAAATAAAAGTCCGCAGAATTGGCACAAAAAAAGTTGTAGAGTTCTAGTTATAACAAGCTACTCAGTGGAAGTCAGTGGAAGTCAGTAGTACACGCAATCAAGAAGAAAACCACCTCTCTTTATGCCTCTTTTTATTATGCAAGTCACGTTAACGAGTGGCCCAAGAAACTTGTTAAGCGGGATTACACAAAACAGGAGAACAGTCGGTGCATTTGTTTCTGCAAAGTTTCATCGATTAGTTGCTTAACAAGTGCCTCTAGGGTAGTTTTTAACAAAAACTTGTCATGCACAGAACACAAGAACAGTCGGTGCGTTTCTGCAAAGTTTCATCAACTAGTTGCTTAACAAGTGCCTCTAGAGTAGTTTATAACAAAAATCATTGTTATGTTCAAGGATTTGAAATAAAGGTTTTCTTTTAATGAATTTGCCTAATAATTGAGAGAAACTTTTGGAACCAGAAGTAGGGTGCCGGTCTAGAGAAGACTCCTATCAAACCCAATTGACTATACCATGAGAAGGGACTTCTTTTCTCCACTATCCATATTGTCATCATATTGTCTTCTTCTAAGGAACAGAAATGAAAAGAAATCCTTCGTAATCAGAGAAACCTCCCTAAGCCTCTTACTAACAAGTTAATGCAAACTCTTATTACATACAATAACTGGATCTTTAACCAAAGGAGCAGCACCAGCAGTAATTGTTGTCTGGTACTGGGAATCCCTTCCAACGGTATAAGTCACCTGTTTAATTGCATCAACAGGACAAAAAATGGTTAACACAGTCTCCATAGGATTCAATATAAACATATTATGTCATCAATGTACATGGTTCACAGGGGTTACTATCACCAACTCTTTTGAAAGCTACCATATAATAAAAAATAAAAACTAGCTAGGTAATAGAATCCAAAGGTTAACATTCACAGGAGGATAAAAGCTCGAGCTGAGAAAAAACGACGAGCCATTTTCATTAACAAGTAGTACATACTATGTGTCTGTGTCCTACAAATTGTACAGGTTTTGCTTAATGGTTAACTTCAAAGTACTCATTATGTATATAAAAGGATGGCGCTATAAGATACTTGTTAGTTTTTAGAATAAAAAAGAACTTCAAGATCTTTAGGCATTGATTTTTCTTGTGATGAGCAATTAGTGTTTTGAAAAATGAGTTCTTCCTATTAAGTATGCTGAGACACTTGTTAACATGACACTATGTAAAATTAGTATCTCTGAAGGAAATGAGTGGTACATTAATTGATACATTGTCAGAAAATTCAGCATGCCAAAAAATCAGCTATTTGCAATGAACTCTAATGACATCTAAAAAAGTGCCATCCGGTCAATATTTTCCATATTACAATACGTTTTGAGGGTTAAAATACCTATGGTCCTTTCTTCTACCTTGATTTCTTTGGCCTTCCATTTTACTACCCTCTTCAACCTCCCTATTATCCAACAGTTCGCATCTTTGAACAATAAAGAGTAGGCAACTAGGATGATTCCTCTCCTTGTCTTTGGCTCATTTGGAAAGAAAGAAAGAAACAAGAGGGTATGCATCTATAGGAGTTGAATCTCCTAAGATTCCTAATTGGTTATACACCCTTCACTTTTAGTATCATTGGAAAGATCAGTTTCATACTACCAGTTTATTGGTAATGTTTCAAGCAATCTTTTGTGCATTATTCTGTATATGGATGGCTTCCCTTCCAAAGATGGTTTGCATGGGAGCAACATCCCCTTAGTGTATTCTTAATTAGGTTCTGTTTATCATTAAAATAAACTTAAGAAAAAGGAGCAGTCACCTAAATGGTTCTTTTGGCCAAAATAAAAACTGAATGGTGCTAACTCCCTGTGAAATTAGCGGTAAAAATGGATAAGACGCAGAACCAGTAGATGACGCTCTCCATTGTCACAAAACAGAGCATTAACAACATTGCATGGCAGAATCATCAATATAACAACGCTTCAGGAATTCTTTTTACTATATTTACAGGAATAAAGTGGCATTACTCTCTTTCTCCCAGATTCTTCGTTGGGATTTTGACTTTGATTATCATACACTACGTAATTGTCGCTACAAATACAAAAATGTAACTAAATAAAATAAGTTAACCTAAGGCTCCACTCCACTTAATAAGCCATTTTTAATCAAAGGGAAAAAGTGTGAGGCTTAATAAGTCACTCAGAACAACCTTACAAGGATTACATGGTATGATTGGAGCGAATAAGCCCTTATGGAATAAATATTCAGCCGCTTGTGAACAGTTTTGATCACATTTATAGAACCACTTTAATTGCTTAACGAAGGATATTATTATCAAATGCCCTCAAGGCATTTCTTGGTTACCCAAATAAAAAATGTTGGAAGCTTTCAATGCATCGACTTTCTTGTATTATGTGTGATCAAATGCTTTGAAAATCGGAACACTTCTTATCAGTATACTTATGGAGAGAGCTAGGACACTAATTAACAAAACAATTTAAAGAATTTTTGGAAAAAACTTGAAAAAGTTGAACAGGACGAGATAATGAGATGGAACCAGAAGTAAAGAATTAATTTAAGAGTATGACGCGAAACTGGTGGAGTTAAGTTTATGTGAAACTGGTACTGAGAGGTACACTACCCGTGTGCTATAATGGTACATCATCACTAGATGAACTTTCCAATCATCAAAGGAAAAGGATTCTGAAAATCAAAGAAACAAAATCACCACCAAAAGGTGAATGTTCAGGGTAGTAAACTTGCCAGAACATCTCTCCACGTTATTAAGCGAAACTCACTTTCGTTAAATTTCCTAAACTACCTTCCATTACATAACAGAAATACAATATATCTTTCATAATCACCTACTTAATAAAAAAAACCACCCACTTTCTTTCTATGCATAACCACCCAAAAATGCGCATAATGTAGCGTGTGCCATTAACCCTTACGTCAAATATGTCAATTTTAAATAATTGATTAAGACATGCAAATGCACGCATTTATGAGAAGTGGTTTTAATGACAAATTATTGTAGAAGAAAAGTTTGCTGTTTGCAGCTATCCATTTTAATCAATTGCAGCAATATCGATAACAGACCATACAAGTTTGTGTGCACAATACTCTTGGCAACCATGTAGAAGAGAAAACAGTACTTTAAATACTTATAAGCATCATGGCACAAGAGTTACTAAACTCTGGAAAGTCCACATGATTTAACGTACCGTTTCTCCCTGGTTCAAGAAGAGCTTAGCAATTTCAATTCCAGCCTGAAAGATCAGAAGCGGTAAAAGCAGCATTACCAACAAAACTCTTTAAACCATACTACATTTACTTCCAAAATATGCAACTATGCACGTCTTAAATTCATGTGGTATTGTTTAACCATCTATCTATTACATATGGATTTTGAGTTCCTCCTAATCTGCTGCTCCTATATATTTCAGCTTAGATCGCAAACAGCTTGGCAATGATCATCGCAATGACACTCAGCCTGCCTATATAAGAAGAATCTAATGCTATATCATCCAGTTAAAACAAATATCTTATCTCTAAAAAACTACATGATGACCTTTTCATAAAAACTGGAGCTGTTTTACACCACTGTATAGGACTCACTAACCTCACAGTTCACACACAGAGATACAAAACAAGGAGGAGACAGAAGTATTTCTTTCATTCGCATTTAAGAGAGTATAGGAAATCCTTCATCAAGCAATACGGTCTACAGAGTGGACCTAAGTATTGGCTCATAAGCTTCAGATGTAAAGAAATAACACTCCTGCCAGAACAATAACAAACATGGACAGAATTACAAAACAACATAAGATTCTTGGTTTCAATAACTCCAAATAACGTAAAGCATCAGTGGACTTATGAACAAGTCTATGATCAAATAAGCTCATGCTCTAGAGAAACCTAATGCTGAAATATAGTTCATCTTTTTAGAGGACATGGTGGGCCAGACAGTGGAACATATTTGCTTGGTTGATGTCAATTCTAACCCTATTGGAATGTTGCAAATGGCCGTACTCAGGCAAGAAACCTTTTTTTTTTTTTTTCCAAAGTTATTTTTGAATAAAAGTCCATCTTCATTTAGTGTGAATTCTGTGATTGCCAATCCACCTTTTCCTACTGTGAACTTTCCTATTTAGTGATGTTTGGGGCCCTTGTTTTTCGGAAGATGGTTTGTACTTTGTGTATACAAGGTGAGTTGGGTATACTTGTTAAGAGAACCAGTGGTTTAAAATAAATGGTCAAAGCAATTTTAGAAGTGAAATGGGAAGAATATTTCAGTAAAAATTTGGTTTTTGAAAGTGTGCATACCTCAAAAAATGGGGTAGAATAAACACCTTTTAAAGTAACTAGCTTTATCTTATAAAGTTTCCGCTATTACATTCATTTCATAGAAGTGTAGTTTCAAAATATTAAAATATTGTTTAAGAAAAGGGGAAATTGATAAAAAAAAAATGTTTATATGGTATGTTAGGAATTAAAAATGGGGAAAATAAAAAAAAAAAAAAAAAAAAAAAAAAAAAAAAAAAAAAAAATTTTTAAAGGATTAGTCCAATAAAAATTGGAGATGACAAAGATGAGGTTGTTGATAATGAGATAAGGCAGAATATTGCCTTTTTGTGGTATGGTAAGCCAATTTATGATTCCATATAAAAAATAAATATTAAAAAAAAAAAAAAGGTGAGGTGAGGAACCAAGGGGATGCCAACCCATTTACAAAATAAGGAGTCCAATCCGTCAAGGATAACATTTACATCAAGACTCGTGCTGTGTATTCCAAAACTTCAAAGTAAAAAGGCAAGAACCCCTAGCTTTAACTAAATGGCTCTTAGAATATTCAAAAGTCTCCTTTTTCTCTCCCTCAAAATCAGCTAAAAAGTTACCAGAGGGATCAAAAGAAACACCTTCCTCTTCTCTATGCTAGCAGGGATGGCCCACTACCGAATAACCATTGCCAGTAGCTTATCTTGCATAGCTATCAGAATAACCTAAAAAATTAAGGTACAGCAAAGAATGCAGGTACACAGGTCACTTCTGAATCAATATTGCCAGTATCACAAAAGACATATCGCCATTTATGCTCATTCAATCTATTTTGCTACATTAGAGTGTTTCTATGAATTGAGAAAACATACGCCAAAAGTTCTTGTAGCATCAATAACATCGAGAAAATTAGATAGACAAAGAAACATTTTTCTTGCAAAAAATCATCCATGCCAACAAGCAAATTTTTCCGTTTGGAAGACTCACCACAGGAAACATTTACAGTGAAATTTTTTTTTTTTATAAATCTGAGAGAATAGAGCCTTGTAAATCTGAGATAACACAACATAAGAGTACTTAAAGCAAAATGATATATCTGTCGACATCAAACGCATACCTGCACAAGCCCCCCAAGATTATCTCTGAGATCCAAAATAAAATATGAGGAACCCATCTCTTGAAGGCGCTTCATTGCTACAAAAATTCTCACATCCTTCAGATTCATAACAATGACAATACATAGAATCTTCAGAAGGACATAAAAGTCCACGTTTACAAACTAGAGATATTGAAAGTACTCTAGTAGTATTGACGGTGTGTAAAAAAGACATAATTGTTTATTACATCAAGTATTGGAAAAGATAACATGACATAAGTGGATCACCATCTTCCTGGTAGATCAATTTCACCTATAAATTTGCAAGACAGACATCTAATCACCCATTTTTTACAAAAAAGGGAAAGGTTGATCACTATTACTACCATGCACGGTGACAAATCAGCAGTGAGCAATTTACATGATCCACTTCATTTTTTGATCGCAAATTACCATACCCCGTGACCAATGAGGCAACATGCAGTTGCTACATAAACTTCAGTTAAACACACAAAACAGAGATCATAACAAAAATGTAGAAAGCTTGTTATAGTTTTGCAAGACAACAACAAATTTTACATCCAGCATGCATTTCTATCCAAAGTAAACTTTTTACAAATTTGCAAGACAGACACCTTATCGCCCATTTTTAGCAAAATAGGAAAAGGCTGATCACTCAAACTACTATTATGAAAGATTCCTTGTATCCCAAACTTGTAAAAGCACCTCAAGCATTTTCAATTTCTGAAGAATTTTAAATAATATTATCTTCATCAAGCATAGTTGACCTTACTGCCCTTCTACTATATGGCAACCTCACTCACAAAAGATAAGGGGTTGTCTGGGTTGACTTTTACGAATAACTAGACGTGAGAAGTATGCAAGAGAAAAGATAAGAAAAGTTACAAAATCCATCCTCATCTTTTCCCTTACTCATACTTTAATTTAAAACCAATGCTTTGCACCCCTTGGTTTCAAAATCTCACACTCCCCCTTTATTTTCTATAGTTTCTTAGATTTCAAAGTGCAAAGTGTAGGTTTTTTTGTAACCAAGGATGTAAGGTGTTTATTTCAGAAGTAGAAGAAGCAAAGTCTAGAAAAATAGAAAGTCGATAATTTGTGTGCGTGTGAACAAATTAACAAGAAAAAACACAGTATACAAACAATGAAGGTGCAGAAAAATTATATTTAACAAGTTAAATAATGAATGTTCACCTGCAACTATATCTTTTATGGCCAATGCATTGAACTCCTTCAAACGTATGTAACCAATAGACGTGCCATTTTCTGCATCTTCCAACCGATAGAAAACTGGGGTTCGTGCAACAAGTTGCCTTTGGACTTTGAAAGATTGAACAGGTCCGCAATTCCCATGTTTGACCTGTAATAATTTTTCTAAATATGAGAATTCAAAAGAAAGATAATCTTTCTCAATGTGTATTGCACTTGAAAGAAGAGAACAAACTGAAAGCAACATTACTCCCAATAAAATTGCTTTAGAATATTAACCTCAAGTTTTACTGAAGTTCCATTTGGTCCTTGCAACAAAGATGATACTTCAACTGCTGATTTCCCTCTGATATCGTCTCCATTAACTGCCAAGATTTCATCTCCCTGCCATGCAGAGAATGCCAGAGAAAGACTCACGACATGCTTGTAATTATATAAATATGCAAGATGATCATTAGAAATAATACTATTGCAAGATAATATCAAGAGATCAAGTTAGGCAAAATTGACAAACATGAGGCATATTTTTTTTATGATACTTCAAAATATGATAACTCTTGAAACAGCCATTGCTACAGAATCAATCAAAGCAAATCTAAACATACCAATCATATGCATGCTTAAATATCTTCTAGTTGAAACTAAAACAGGTAGAGTAGGAGCTCATAACAAGTGCTGTAACGTATAAGAACCTTCTCATAGAGAAATCGTCCTCGGCCTTCTGCCTCTAGTACAATAAAAGGACATGAAATTCTTTCTTGAGGAGTTCCATTCAGTCTCTTACATCAAAACACTAAAGCTATCAGAATGGCTTTCAGTAAGTTATTAAGAGGCTTTCTTAAACTAAATAGGATCCTTCAAGGAAATACTACTAATAGGATAGGATAAATTGTACAATACGTTGTCAAACAATGCACGACAAACTACATAGCAGTCAAGGACAGAGCAGTTCTTTAAATGTGTAAAAAACAAACCCCAGACATGGAGATGCACAGATTTCCACGATAAATTTAAGGTAATCATGACAGGACGAAGGAGAATTCTGTTCCTCGATGAAAAATGACACAAGAACTCTGTTTAATTCTTCTTCACCGGCTTGGCAAGTGGGGCAGCAATAATAAATTTTCTTCTTCCTGCTTAAACTAAATGAATTTCTTCGCTGTTAAAGTACCCATATGGACTGCATGCAGTGTGCACATCCAACAGTTGTAATCTCAGTATTTTGATCCTGTAAGACTGTCAATGCCATGAGGCTAATGCAAGAGGGTTCACTTTTTCACATCCGCAGACAATTCTATGAAGCCAACTATTGTGAATCATGCGAAGCCGGTGAACAAACTGCGAACTTTAACAGGTTTGATTAGGGGTTCAAAACAGTCAGAAACTTGCAAACTCGACTTATAAATAGCTCAAGTCAGCTCAATTTTTTTTGGAGTTTGGTCCAATTCAAGCTTGAGGACTTAATCAAGTCGAGCTCAAGCTTTAAATACAAGGGCAGCTCACAATCGTATATCAATCCTAAATGCTATTCACAATCCTAAATGCTTAGTTGAACTTTAAAATAAAGTTAACTAACCCCTAGCTATGAGTGTACTCAAATAAAGATAACTAACCCCTAGCAATGAGTGTGAAAGGCATACTCAATCATCACATAGTGATGGAAAAATAAGCATTCACATGTAGACGTTGGTCAGTTTGACCACTTCCAATGAGAAATCAACCAGTGAAGACTGGAGAGTCAGGCTAATCTGCAACAAGCATGCACGTGCACACATCAAAGAGATAATAAAATTGAAGTTTGTAACAGCAAATTAATAGGACTAAGTTTACGTATCTATAGAAGTATGAACATGTGCACTTATTACTACATTGTACATCTATGTTTACATATAAATTACCTGCCTCACACCGGCAGCATGGGCTGGTCCATCCAGTAGAAGTCCCAAAACCTTCAGTCTGACCTTTCCATCATCATCCTGGACTTCCCTTAGATTTATCCCAATACCTGTCATGTCATACCTAGCCATCCTGGAGAACTTTCGTCATAACGGCATATAGAAACTGAACAGATTGTTAGTATATGCTGAAAATTTGGAGCATCTTTTCTGCCCAAATAAAAAAGACAATCACTAGAATTTACTAATATGCCAAATTTGGGGGCAAACAGATGCTCATCATGACTTACACATGAAGTCAATATCCAAATGGTATATCCCCCCTCCCTTGTTCTTCTATTTATGGCAGTGGATATTCCGCCCCTTTTGGGAGGTTTGAGGTGGGTTGGATGTTCAGATTAGGTAACTTCATATTTGGAGGAACAATCTCCCAGAGAACAAGTAGTTGGCATAAAATAAGAACAAGCAAAAGTGCAAACAACGGTAACTCGACCCAACCACAAGAATGTTTACCTATGTATATACCATTAACATTCTCCCGAAACCTCTAGTTATAAGTTACAACTACCAGGCCTCTTCCCGCTAAGTAGAGTTGCCGACATGGATCTTTAAATGACATTAATTATTCTCCTTAAAACATGGCAGATATAGCTCTTGCTTTTTAATAGTCAATTATGCAGAACTCCATTCAAATGATTGAGATAACATACCCAAGAGTTAAAATTAGGATTGACAAATTTCTCATACAGATTCATCTAACAAATGGGAAAAGGATTATTGCTTAATAAAACATGCTTGAACATGTAACGTGTCAAGCCTTGAGCCTAGAACGTGAAAACAAGTGTCCCCTACTGTCTCCCTTTATCAGGCCCTAAGATTCACCCTGCTAAACCTTTCATTATCAAGAAAGATTATGCATCAGAAGTCCAGAGATGATATGTGAGTTTAGACCTTATAACTGGAATGAGGTTGAAATAGGGAGTGGTAGACATATGAAGATGTCAACAGTAAGTTTAAAGAAAGATCTTGTAAACTTTAATCTTACCTAACACTTGATACCAACAAGAGGAGACTAGTGTAAGAGGATCCGTGTGGCTGACCATATATAAGGGGAAGGTGCTTGTTACGGTCAGCTCTCAATTATGTTACTATGATGTAAGTGATCAGTGTCAACCTGATTTACATTAATTTATATTTTTAATCTTAGCTCAAGCAAAAAGACCTATCTTGGGCTCAGCTTAATTAAGAAGAAGCACTAGAACTGGGAAGTGTTATACATTGTAATTTTAAACATATTCAAATATATCAAGCTTGTTTATTATAAGAAATAATCCAAGACATCCTATTATCAGAGCTCAGTGGTACTAAATATAGGAAAAAAGTACTTCTGAGCCAATCCCCAATACCCATCACAATACATGTTTACTTTTGTTGTAACTCCTAAACAACGTCTTATAACACAAAACATTTAACTGTGTTATGACAATTCGAATAGGAGTTATGATAAAAAAGAACTTAGATTAAGACTAGTACGCTAGGGAATTGGTGTCCCTTGAGGGACCATTCGAAAGCCCCACTGAACAAACACAACAGTACAAGTTCCTAGGAACTAAGTTTACCCCACAATATCAGCACCAAAGCTCTAATGGTAGAAAAGCTTGTCAAACTAGTTCTACATATTGATGATGTCTAAACCATTTCCACCAGACATGAAAAGGTAAATACAAGACATCCTCCTGAGGCAGAATTATGCTGTGGCTCTGAAAGGACGTCCCTAAAGTTTGTGAAGCAAAAGATGATGACCAAGTAAATTTTCATGCCAATAGGCATACCAATTGACCGCTGAAGCTTTGCCATAATCTTTAACAAATCTCCTTTATTGTAGTGGATAGGATTAGACTAACAACTCAGGGGAAAAAGCTCTACTGACGTTCATTCCTGTACTATTGCCGATTAGGGTAGTCACTATATGGAGGACACTAATAGACCCAGCAATAGTTATTAAATAATTCTAGAAAGATTAGTTCTGAGTTACTTCTTAAAAGAATTCCTCTGATATACATAAATTGTCATTGATCTGGACATTCTATGGAAAGGTGCAAACTTAAGTACGCAAATGCAATGTAAGTTTGTTGGCCGAAAAGAAAAAGTAATGCACGTTTGCCGATGTTCATAACTTGAGCACAGGCAATGCAAAAATGCAAACTGACTAGCAGGGTCAGACTACTCCATCCCAAGAGCAACCGCCGTGTCCACAAACATAAATTTACCACAAAATTTACAAGGGCAAAGAGGGATCTAATCACCTCATCAGGAGAAAGAAATCGGGTGTAAGGATCGCCCAAACCCGCCAACATTCGTCTTATCAATTCGTGAGCCTTTGACCTTGTCGGGATTGAAGTACTCAGTATGTCTTCCTTCTTCCGCTGCATATAAAGCAAACACAACGGCTCAATATTCCACCAAAGAATCGAGAGGGAAAAAAGAAAACCAAAAGACCAATGGAAATTAGCATTCAGCGAGAGAGAGAGTGTGTTTGCCTGCCACGCTTCAGGCGACCAGCGACGGCGACCGGTACCGAGGAAGCTTTCATTGACGATATCCCAGGCTTCCTCCACGATTCTCTCATTCGTCCCTCGCTCGGGCACGGCGCCAGCCCCATCATCCTCTTTCGCCTCCTCCTCGCGGCAGTACTCCACCGACGGTAAGGACTTCGTCGTCCGCGCCAGGGGAGACTCCGCCGCGATCGACGGAGGCGAGAGCAGGAGGCCGAGCGAGAGAGCTCCGGACAGCGCGGCGGACAAGAGCTTCCTCCGAGCGGACGAGGCGCGGAGGACGGGAGGAGCCGCGGCGGCGGCGGCGGCGCGAGGGGGGAGAGGCTGAGCCGGAGGGGGCGGCGGCGAGAGGGCGGCGGAGGGGTTGCAGAGAAGCAATAACGGCCCCATGTTGGCGTTGTGGTGGTGGCTTATGGTTTGCGCTCCAGTCACTGAAGCAAGTAGAAGATGACGATGACGATGGTTCTGAGAATTTTTTTTCGTGGGAAAATGAGTTACCCATGAACTTTTACTCAATTTGCAACTTGCTTTATAAATTTTTAATTTATTCAATATAATTTCTAAATTTTAATCACATGGTCATCTCTGAATTTTTAATTTATTCAATATAAGCTCTGGACTTTCGATACAAAATCAATTAGTCCATGGACAATATGAAAATAATAAATATTATCCTTCGATATTAAATTAATAAAAGGATAATATTGAATATTTTCAAATAGTTTAAATACTATATTGAATATGTACCAAAAGTCTACATAGAACAAATTAAAAGTTCAAGTACCACATTGAAGATTGGGTCAAAGTTCAAGGGTCATTTGGATCATTACCTTTTTTTTTTAAGAATTAATACTACAAAAAACCTCAAACTGATACATATGAGATAAATTTACCTAAAACTAATTTTTTTGGCCATAAAAAATCATAAGCTGGTATACTTGTGACAAATTTATCTTAAACTAATTTTTTTATCACCAAAAACCCAAAAATGATATTCTTGTGACAAATTTACCCTCCATTAAATTAAATTAATACAACGAAAAACCACAAGTTAGTAAAAATGTGACAAATGGAGGGAGGGGTAAAACTCAAACTGGTACATCCCTCAATTGTTACGTGTCATCTAACTCAATAATTTAACGGTAAAATTTGATGGAAACTAACGGAGGGTAAATTTGTCACAAGTATACTAGTTTTGGATTTTTTATGGTGAAAAAATTAGTTTAGAGTAAATTTGTCGTATATGTATCAGTTTGGGGTTTTTCGTGGTATTAACCTTTTTTTTAACAGGCGAGCTCGGACCAGGTCTGCTTGGGCCCGATTCTTCATACATTTGGCCCAGACTCGTCTAGGCCCAAACTGGCGGCTAGGCCCAAACTGGCGGATAGGAGCAAGTGCTCAAACCTTGTCTATCGGGCCACTTTTTTACTTTCTATTCTTTCAAATTTCAGCTTAAAAATTAAATAAGTATGAAAAACGACTTTTTGGGGATTTGTCTTGTTTTATTTTATTACTTTATTTACGAGTTATATACTATTTGTTTTACGCTACTTTAGAAATTTGGGCTTATTTTATATTGTTAGTATGTTATGATATTTAAATGCCAAAGCAAAATCATTAATGAAACGTTATTAATTAATTATTTTAATAAATGTGCGGGTGTGGCGGACCTCAAGGCCCTTGCTTAGGCTCGGCTCGCCCACTGATTGGCCGTTGAAGTTTTTACCAAGCATGCTGATCAAGTCTAGTTGTTATCACCTTTTGCAGCTTTTCTTTTAGGGATAAAATGCATCGGAAGTCATGAAACTTGTTGCAAAAATATAGTCGTGTTTTAACTTTTTTAAATAGTGTAATTAAATCTTAAAATTTATTAGATCGTTACAATCGAATATCTCCATTAGTTCCGTCCGATTTGAGTGATGGAAAATGCCTATGTGGCATTATGTTTTTATTATTTCTCAGAAAAAGAGACGCAGAGGCAAATGCCATGTCAGCCATTTCAAGGGGAAAAAAACATTTTGGACCTCTTAATTGTTTTTTTTGGTCGAAACCCTCCAAATTCACTCATTATACTTTTCTGATCCAAAGGAGACTAAGCCAACAGCCAACTTATATTGCGCTTGCATTTGTATTTCTTCCAATTCATGGTATTTTGGATTGTACTTGTACTTCCTTTCGACTCTACAATGGTGAACGATGTATTATCCATGATAATTTTTGGAAGTTTTATTATTTTTTTTTGGTATAAATTTTTTTCCAGTTAAAGCTGTCGACAAAACGGCTAGTTATTGGCCGTCAGCCACTTTATTTTTTCTGAACATTTTAGAAAAATTCAACAAAGAATCTTATTTAAATAGAAAAATGTCTTAGAAGATGGAAATTGCAAACTCTCTTAGGGCCCGTTTGGCAACTTGCCAAATAATAAAAAATTATATTCTTTTGTTTCCGGAATCAGTTTGGGAACAAAAATTCGTTTGTTAAATTTTTTGTGCCCGGGCACAATTTTGCAAAAAATTGTACTTAGAATCAGTTTTGGAACAGAATCAAGAAGCAAAAAAAATTAGCTTCTTGATTTTGAAACAATTTTTCCATTTCTGATTTTTCTTGATTTTCTTTTTTTTTTTGGTTTGTTGTTGTTCTTCAGCCAGCTACCTGCCACCCGCCGACCATCGGCCACAGGCCAGGGCCGACGAGGGCGGCTTGCGGCCGCGATGGCGAGGCCAACCTTGCCGTCGCCACCCATGTCCGTCGCCTGGGTGGCGACGGTGAGGCCAGCCTCGCCTTGGCTAGGTGAGGCTCGACCTCGCCCATATCTGGCAAGGCCCGACCTCGCCGTTGCTACCGGCGAGGACGGCAGTGAGGGCCGCGACGCCCTCGCAGGCTCTGGCCTATGGCTGGTCACTGGCACCGACGACCGGCCATGGCCAAGGAAGGGAAGGGAAAGAAAGAAAAAAAAAAGAAAAAAAAAGGAAAAAAAATATAAAAAGAAAGAAATATTAAAAAAATCAAAAAATTATGAAAATATTATTAATAAAATGAAATTTTGTGTAGTTACCAAACACATTTCTATTCTTTTTCTATTCTAAAAATAGAAATTTTGGACAATTACCAAACGCTTTCAAATGCTTAAAAATTGTTTCCAGGCACGGAATAAAAAATAATCATTTCGAGCGGAATTTATTTAGAGGCATGTAATGCTGCCATGCCATGTGAGCCTTAGACTCTCCACACTCCGCACTCAATTTCAGTAAGATATTGCCGGTGTAAATGATAATGCACTCGACTTGGGTAATCAACCGAGAAGAAGAAATTCCGACTTGTGGGAATTCTTTGAGATTAAAGAATTACCGAATGAAAACCGTCGCATAGTTTTTGCAAACAATCATTGGAAAAGTTTTGCCTACAACGTTGCAAAAAGTGGAACAGAAATTTGTGGCTGCATAAATGGCACAGTTGCCCTCAAAAGAAAGGGTGTGCATATGCCCGCGCAACGTAGCCATCAAATATCAAATTTTAACTATTATTAGTAGGAGTGTCGGAACCGAACCGAAAAATCGAATCAAGATACGAACCAAATTGAAGCGAATTGAAAATTTTGTGCATTTCGGTTAGGTTCGGTTCGGTTTTCAGTTCGGATAATCAAAATTAACCAATTTTTTTTTCAAAACCAGACGCACTGAAGCAAAACGACAGAACGACAGAAAGAGGGCAACGTCGGTGGTGCTCTCTCTCTCTCTAGCTCTCTTGAATCCTCGGCCGACTTCGCGGGTCGAAGTTTCGAATCAATCTCCGGCAACCTTTTACGTGTACGCTCTTCTTCCTTCGCTCTCGTCCTCCATTGTGCTTGCTCTGTGCGATTTGGTGGGTTCTTGCCTTCGTGTCTTGACGCTTGATCTGCTACTAATCGGAACTGTCGTGTTGTTGTTTCCATCGCTATGGCCTTGTGGCGATGTCATTGTGGTGCTCTTCGCAACTCCAGTGCTTCGCCTTTAGTGGATGAGTTCCGGAAGAGCCAAGGGATTTTGCATTCGAAGCTTTTATGGGGATTTTGAGGATTTGTGGTGTTATAGTGCTAGCGAGTTTTAGTTGCAACTAGGAGGAAGAGGGCATGTTCCAAAATGAGCTATTTTCAGCTGAACACGACTGCAGCTTTGTTTTAGATCTTTGTTGTTGGATTGTCTCGCTCCTATTGGTGTCTGCCTGTTTAAATGTCAGTTTTCAACTTATATTACATGATGGAATTGCAATGGGAATTTCTACATAGATGAGATTTGTGGTGTTATAGTGCTAGAAGCTCAGTTTTGCTTTGTCCATTTATTAAATATATATTACTGCGGAATCTGTGTAAGTGGAGTTGGCAAATTTCTATTTCCTTAGATGTGGGGACTTTATATGATGATGGCTTTGGTATGCATACTGAAGAGAGCTGGGTTATATATGTTTATGGATATTCTGCATTTTGTTTCCTTTAGGTTAGCCAGTTTTGATTGTGTTCTGCTGGGAAAAATCTAAATTGTATTTTAGTTAAACTTCTATTTGATTGACATTAGGCCTCAGTATTCATCTTATAAGTGTGAGTTCTTACGTTAATTACTATTGTATATCTTGTAGTGTTCACCAAAAAATGAAGAAAGGTTCTCATCAGCTAACCTTGTATCTGGAGGACTGAGAGGAGACATCACAAAGCAAAAGCTTTTTGCAGAGCCGAGTCTTATTAATTTCTGATAGTAGAATTAATGTAATCATATCTATGAATTGTTTTGGCAAGAACTTCCTTTTATCTTGGTTTTATTAAATTAAAAAACCGAAAATCGATCCGAACCAACCCAACCGAACTCGGTTTGAGTGAGATTTGGTCAAGTTCAATGGTGCACCTCTAATTATTAGTATATTACTTCGTTTGATGTATCATGTTCCTGTACTGTCTCTATACCGTTAGTCAATGAAGTCCTCAGATGTAATATCTCTAGGTTAGCTAATAAAGATCTCAATATTCGACCAAAAATAAAAAATAAAGATCTCAATCGTGTTGCGAGCAATAATGAAAGGAATTGAAATAATCATTTTTGTTTTTTGAAATTTTTTTGAGAAATTAATTTCAAGAAAAAGATTTATTAAAGAAAGAAAGAAAAGGCCCGGATCAGATGTGCCCACCCTCGACCAGTGCATCCTTGAAATCAAAAGAAAACTATACTTATGGCTTGCACAATAGAAAAACAAATTTTGAGATTGTAACTCATAACATGTCATGATATCACGCGATTCAGCTCAATCAAATTAAAATCATTTTGGAGATAGACAAATTAAATAAAGAAAGCAAAATGAATTTAACATGACAAGTCGCAAGGAACTTATATCTACATTTTTTTATTGTTTTATTATAATCAAGGTACTTTAATTGAGAATAAATAACCTTTTTATAATAAATTTAGAGAAGAAAAGGAGACGCAAAAGTCAAATTAATGTGAAAGATGGAGGGGTATCC